GAGCCCGGACCACTCTGAGAGTCAGAGGTGGGACTGAGTCAGACATCAGAGAGGGATGGGCCTCAGTGGCCAGTCTGTGTGGCCCCTTCCCACTCAGCCTTCTCACCCATGACCAAACTCAGGGACTTCCCTGGTGGTCCTGTGGCTAAGACTCCATGCTTCCAACCCAGAGGACACAGGTTCGATCCCTGGTCAGGGAGCGAGATCCCACATGCCACAATGAAGACTAAAGATGCCACATGCTGCAACCAAGACCCGCAGAGCCAAGTAAATAAATGAACACGAAAAGAAAAAAGGAAACAACGGCCACACTCGAGGAGAACACCACGTGGGTGAAGACGGAATCAGAGATGGGGGTGAGCTTCCATCAGGAGCTAGGCAGGAGGCAAGGGACACACTGTCCCCGACAGCCTCAGAAGGAACCCACCCGCCGGCACCTTGTCTCAGACGCCCACCCTCCAGAACTGAGAGGATAATTTCTCTCCTATAAGCCAGCCAGGTGCTGGCACTTTGGTATGGCAGCCCTGGGAGTCTGAATCAGCTGTGTGTGTGGCCGGCACCCCAAGCATCAGCCCTGAAAATCCTTCAGGTGTCCAACCCGTACCCCAGCTCCGAGAGGCTGAGTTTCCTTCCTCTCAAACACGCACTGGTTCTACCTGTAGTTTCAACTTGGCACCTTGACAAGGAAACTGGATCCCAGAGAGGGGAAGCCACATGTCTAAAGTCACACAGCGAAAAAGCTGAGAGGTTCAGGCATCTGTGAGGCCAAGATCTGTGGGACTGCAAAGAACCCAGGCCTTTCTCCGTATCACATGAAAGAGAGATATACAAATGGCCAACGAGCACTTGGAAAGATGTTCAACAGCACTAAGGAACATCAACATCATTCAGGAAATGCAAATCGAAACTGCAATGAGATGCCGCCTCACACCCATCAGGGCAGACGATCAAAAGCAGAAACAAAAATCCTTCAGAAAACTACAAATGTTGGAGAGGAAGTGAAGGAATTGGCATCGCTGGTGGGATGTAAAATGGTGCAACCACCACGGAAAAGAGTATGAAAGTTCTAGAAAATATTAAAAATAGAATTACTGTATGATCTAGGAATCCTGGGCTTCCCAGGTGGTGCTAGTGGTAAAGAATCCTCCCGCCAAGGCAGGAAACAAAAGAGACCCGGGTTCGATCCCTGGGTCGGGAAGATCCTCTGGAAGAGGGCGTAGCAACCCACTCAAGTATTCTTGCCTAGAGAATCCCGTGGACAGAGGAGCCTGGTGGGCTACAGTTCATAGGGCCGCAGAGTCGGACAAGACTAAAGAGACTTAGCAGGTATCCACTAGGAATTCTACTTCTGAGTATATACCCAAAAGAATGGAAAACAGGGTCTTGAAGGGACAGTAGTCAGCCCATGTTCATAAGTCATTACCCACAATAGCTAAAACTTGGGAACAACCCAAATACCCACCAACCAATGAATGGATAAACAAAATACAGTATGAACACATGATGGAATATTGCTCAACCCTAAAAAGGGAGGAAGTTCTGACACCTGAGACAACATGGATAAACTTAGAGGACGTTATTTTGAGTTAAAGAAGCCAGCCACAAAAGTACAAAACACTGTATGATTCCACTGACATAAGCCCCTAGAGCAGCCAGATTTATAGAGACAGAAAGCAGAATGGTGGTCACTGGGGGTTGCAGGGAGGGGGAAATGGTGGGGGTTAGTGTTGAATGGGGACAGTCTAGGAAGATGAAAACTTCAGGAGGTGGATGGTGGTGAGGATTGCACAACACCATGAATATACTTAATGCCACTGAACTGAACATTTAAGAATGGTTAAGATGTAAATGGTTAAATTTTGTAAGGGTATTTTGCCACAATTAAAAAAAAAGAAAGAGAGAGAGAAAGATGGGACACTCCCTGGAAAGCTAGCAGTTCCAGCAGGGGTGGGGTGTTAGCAGGGGGCCACGGGCAAGGAAGCAGTCAAGAATCCCTGGTTAGTCTCAAGGTTTCCCAGCTCTGGGCCTGCTGCTCTCTCCGAGCAGCATTTAGCTCCTCCATCAAATAGGAACATCAATCATCTCTTCTTCCTCCCAGAGATGAATCTGAAAATGCTCTATAAACCCTAAAGCGCTGTGCTCTGCCGTATTGCCATTTTCTCTATACCTCCTGGTCATCAGAAGTCCATAAGTCTTTGACCTTAGATGTCTTCCCTCCCTGCCAAAGGCCCCCATGACCCTCCGGGAAACTTGTCATCGGAATTCCATTTCTGCTATTCATACCCTTGGCAACTGTGATGTGCCCCCATGAGGGCATGACAGGGCCCCTCGAGTTCCTCTCTGCACCCAGACATTGCTCAGCAGAGATGCGAAGACCTCTGGGGTCTTGCAGCCACCCTCCACCCACACCTCAGGGCCACACATTACAGTAGCAACTCTTTTAAATAGAGTCCTCTCCCCCTTAGGAGGGAAATGAGGGGTTGCATCTTTGGTGGGTGAGACACTGGAGCCGGGGGAGTGAAGGAGGCGACCTCGGACTGAGCTTAGGGACACAGAGATCCTCCCCACCCCCCAAAACCTCACCAGAGCCAAAGGCAGGAGCAGAGGGAGAGGGTGGTGGTGCCCACCTGTGCCCCACCACCTGAACCCCTGTCCACTGTGCAGCTTGTGGGACCCTCCTTCTATCCTGTTCCCCTTCAAAGAGCCCCTGAGGTCTTTACTTATTCACTCACCATCTGACAGATATGTACTGAGTTCCCAGCATGTCAGGATGCTGGGAAAGAGCAGCTTCTGATGCCACTCTGAAGCTCTCTGTAAAGTGTTCATCAGAGCCTGGACTGTGGTGAGCCCATGACACCTCCGTGAGTTTTCCCCAGGAAAAACACATCATCAGAATTCCCTGGGAGCCGCCCCCACCCTCTGAGATTGCATTCCAAGGCTTCAAACATCTCTTTTCCCTTCCACCTGGGCTCTCTGGACGGATGCTCCAGCCCCTGGGTCTTTGGCTCCTGATCTCGTGTAGATCTATCTATCATTAGCCAAGGTCAAGTCGCCAGGTGCCTCCTATCATTTCTCAATTATGGGTGGCCCCTGGGCCAGCACCATAAAGTGGGCTCTGCTTGGCTCATGTTAATTAAATATCACAGGCCCCAGGGAAGAGAGCCAGGGAGGGAGGCTTGGCAGCTGGCCTCTCTGGAGCAGGAGCTTCTTCTCAAGGTGAAAAGGCGTGCGTTCATTCGTAGGACAAGTGTTTGTTAAGCCCCCACTGTGTGTGTGCCAGGCACTGTGCTAGTTCCAGACCACCCAGCAGCAAAAGCGACCAACGCCGATTATGCCCCTTGGCGCATATACACCAGAGGAGGTGGTTGTTTAGTTGCAAAGTCGAGTCTGACTCTCGGCAACCCCATGGACTGTAGCCTGCCAGGCTCCTCTGTCCGTGGATTTCTCTAGGCAAGAATACTGGAGTGGGTTGCCATTTCCTTCTCCAGGGCATCTTCCCGACCCAGGGATTGAACCCAGGTCTCCTGCATTGGCAGGCGGATTCTTTACCAGTGAGCCACCAGGGAAGTCTCCACACCAGTGGAAAGGTCCCCAAACTTCAAGACACGTATTTATGAACTGGTGCATTAACCCAGAGAGGAGAACCTCCAGGCTAAGTAACCAGAAAGAGAATATTCAGGGTGAGAGTTGCCTCTTCATTTATGAATCCAATAAGCATAAATCCTGGAGATCCAAGGCAGCCTGGCTCAGGACAGAGGCCTCAGGAGTAAAGAGAGCTGTTTTCTGAGGCTTTCTTCAGTTCTATCACTCTGATTCTGTGACTTTCAAGTTCTCTGGAGCACTTCACTCACCACTGTCCAGGAAAAAATACTAATATTTATAAAAATATAACTAAAAAATATACTTTAAAAAAGTACTAACTTGAGCACTCACTAAGTGTCATCTCACAGAATCATCACCACCAACAAGCAGAGATCCAGTTCACTCTGCTTGATGCTAAAAAAAGATCTTAGGGTTCAGTGAGGTGAAGTTACTTGCCCCAAACCTCACAGTGAAAGCAGGAACATTTCAGGCCCACTGCTTATAAAGAAAAGTCTGTTTTGCATCCTTGGGTTCCCATAGGTGAAACCTACCTGTTTCTCTAGCTTATTTCTTTCTTCCTTTCTTCACTCAGTTAGTGGGATATAGCATGCCAAGTCCCTGAGGCATGCCCTGCCCAGCACATGGGAGGCACTCGGCAAGGTGTCCCAGAGAGGCACCCATGCACCTGTCCAGGGGTGGTGACTGCTGAAGTCAGGGTCCTAGCACGGGCCAGATACTAGACACACACTTTCTCATTTGATTCTCCCAGCCACCAGTAAGCTGGGTGCGCCTGGCCCTGTTTACAGATGACACTCAGACTCAGAAACAAGAGCTACTGCCTAAAGGTCTCTTGGTTCACAGTGGACAGCATGGTGGCCCCAGACCAGGTCTCCCAGACTCCAAAGCTTTGGTTCTTTCCACCACACTGTCCAGAGGAAAGATCTGGGTTGAGACTGGAATGGCAATGGGAAAATGACAGTGCAAGCTGCTGGAAGAAATGCTTTGGAGACAGGCTTCCCCACACTGTGATCTCATGATGGGTAAAGAAGATATTTCAGTTCCTATTCTGGACATCTCAAGGTTTAGGATGTTAGCAATGCCCTGGCTATCCAAATATCATAGTCAGAGATGCATATCAAGCTCCACCCCTTCAGACATCCCTCACCCAATCATGCATGGTCAACAACCAGGAAGTAATAATGAACAGTTACTGGGTGCCAGACACTGTTCTATGTACTTATACTGATTTCACCCACATAATAACCCCATAAGATATTACCTTTGTTTACAAATGAGGAAACTGAGGCACCATGAAATTACATCACTTATCTGTAACTGCATGTCACACTGCTCAGATGGTAGCACAACACGTATCTGAACGCTGGTGCTTGGGGATGGAACGCAGAGCCTTCACTTACAGGAAACATCATCTTCCCAAATGCACGCTGGTAGGAAATTAGTTGAGTAAGTTAGGAAGCATCTACCCAATGGAGTACTGTGCAGCCATCAAAGATGCTGACAGTTGTTAACACATAGAAAAATGCAGAATAAAAAAAGATATAAATTTGCATGTGGTATTATTTCAACAGTATCTAAAAATGCAAAGGAAAATATTGGATAATGTTGGAGAATTAGAGAATATTCTTAAATAAGTTCAGCTACCCAGTCATCCATCCATCCACCTACTCATCCATTCATCTATCCCTCCATTCATCTATCCATCCATCTATCTGTTCATCTGTCAATCCATCCATCCAATCACCCATCCATCCATTCATTAAGTACTTACTGATGCCTCTTTGCACTGACTGCCCCTGAGATGACCACTGGGACTATAAGGTCAGTGAACCATATAGGGTTGTTCCTTGCCCACCTGGAGCAATCTGCCTATTCAGGGAGACTGCAAGCAGATAATTAGTGTTACATGTAGACAAGTTCATGTCGATTATGACATGTGTGTGTGTGGGGCATGGCAAAGGCCTCAAATGGCAGAACTACAGCCTTCAGTGGAGGAGGGAAGAGAGGGGCTTCCAAGAGGAAGTGCTGTTTAGGCTGCACCCTGGAGAGAGAGTAGCGGTCATCCAAGGGCAGAGAAGAGAGGTAAATGCCATGGGCAAAGGGAACAGCATTGTCCAAAGACCCCTAGAGGGGAGAAACTCGGCCCAATCCAGTGACAAAGGAAAAGCCAGAATCACAGGAGGGGGTGAGGTGAACAAGAAGTGGGGAGAGGATCATTTTGCCTGGGGTCTGAGATTAATGGTAATATTTTCTTCCTGTCTTTGTAATGAGCATGCATTTCTTTAATAATGCAAAAATAAAAAAAGGTTTAAATAGTGTTAAAATGAAAAGAGTGAAGCTTCCTGAGGACGACAGAGAATCTAGGAAAAGGGTTGTCATTACAGAAAAGACACTGGGGCCAGATACAGACCTGGGGCTGGTGGGGGAGGCAAAGACCAAGCCCTTCTTGACCCCCACTCTAGACTTCCTTCCTTGCTGGACCTCCTCTGGGGGCCTTGAGCAGAGAAGGCAGGGAAGTGGGGAGAGCTGGAAGAATCTGGCATGTGGAATAGATATTAATGTCGCAGAAGGGGGAGCCGGGGGGAGGGCAGACTATTAAAATTCTGTAGTCCTGAAAAATACATAAGTCTAAAATAAGACTAATGAGACATTTACTGGTGTGGTTGCCTTGCATTAATGACCCTGCTGAGGATAAGATCGCAGAAGGCTTTCAGTGTAATTACCAGGCTAATGATTAGCTGTGACATCACTGGAGACTAGAATGCAGACCTCGCTTTGGATCGCTTTCAAAGTCAGGACGCTGCTGACCGCCCGACGATGGCTGAGCAATCTTGGGGTGCCGGCACCCCATCCCCTACACCCACCTCTGGCTGCTGCGGCTTGTGGCTTCCAGCCAACACCTCCCCAGTCTCCCTCCTCACCCCTTCCCACCCCTCCCCATGCCTGCATTCCTGGACATTTTAAGGAGGCCTCTGGGACCATGGACTTCAAGCAGCAATTTGTCAACACTGGTGGGGGCTGGGGGGCTGAATGCCTGGAAAAGTAGGAGCTACGAGGATATCCAGAAAGAATCTTTAATGAACAAGTGATGCATTAACTGATGAATGCTTTCAGAACCCTTGTGCCCCGTGAGACTGGAGCAGGACACAACAGGAAGCATATAATGCTCCATCTCAGAGAGTGCTTGGCTCTGAGCCCATCCGGCCCACCCATTTGAACAGATGGGGAATGCTGAGGCCCAGAGAGGAGAATCAGCTTCCTGAACATCACCCAGCAAGCCTTTTATTCGCCGTGTGGATTATAGGAAAATAAAAGTGCAGAGTGACGATCGTATCCTGCCTTCTCCCTTCTGGAATCTACAGCACTCTAAACTTCTAATTACATCCCTGTCATCAAAACTCGGAAGGAGTTCTGACTAGCTGCTGACCTTTGATTGGGACTCTGGTTAGAACTCGTCCTTCCAATGTGGGATTAGGCAGAACTGTCTGGACAGTGACATGGAGATGGGAAAGGTCCAGTGAAGCTCGCTGTAGTGGGACTGCAAGACTCAGGTCTTTATATATATTGACGCTGAGGAGCCAGGGAAGGGGTGAAGTTTAGGGGTATAGCTCCTGGTCTTCAGATTAGCTGATACCACTAGGGACATAAAGATCTTCATACAAGGGCAGAGTGTCCTCATTATCAAGAATCTGTGAGAATCAGGTAGCATGGAAACATCTGCAGGAAGAAAACCCTCATTCTCACACAAGTGCATGGTCAGACCCTAAGAAGAAGTGCCTCCTTGTCTATTGTACTCCGAATTCTTGCCTTAGCCCAGTCCTATTCCTGAGACCAGGATAAGAACTCTTGTACAAGAGATTAAAAGCTGCTTGCTCCTTGGAAGAAAAGCTATGACAAATCTACACAGCATATTAAAAAGCAGAGACATCACTTTGCCGATAAAGCCCCGTATAGTCAAAGCTATGGTTTTTCCAGTAGTCATGTATGGATGTAAGAGTTGGACTATAAAGAAGACTGAGTGTCAAAGAGTTGATGCTTTTGACCTGTGGTTCTGGAGAAGACTCTTGAGAGTCCCTGCAAGGATGGCAAGGAGATCAAACCAGTCAATCCTAAAGGAAACCTACCCTGAATATTCCACTGGAAGGACTGATGCTGAAGCTGAAGCTCCAATACTTGGCCACCTAATGTGAAGACCCAACTCATTGGAAAAGACCCTGATGCTGGGAAAGATAGAGGGCATGAGGAGAAGAGGGCTACAGAGGATGAGATGGTTGGATGGCACCATCGACTCAATGGATGCAAGTTTGAGGAAACTCTGGGAGATAATGAAGGACAAGGAAGCCTGGTGGGCTGCAGTCCATGGGATTACAAAAAGGCAGACACAACTGAGCAACTGAACAACAACAAGAGATTAATTGCAGGAGAGTTCTAGAGAAAATGTATAAGGATGGGGTGAGCCAGCCAGCAAAGGAGAAGAGGGGAAACAAAGATGTGGTTTTGGTTGAGGTCCAGGTTCTGTCTGACCTGACCTGAAGCATCAATGGCACCAAAATGTTTGCCCCACAGGAAGCCAGAGGAGTTCTGTAAGAGTTCGTCAACAACTAAAGACTGTCCCTGGGTGTGCATAACTCCCCAGGCATTTCTAAGCAAGGCAGCTCCAGGACGTATCTTCAGAAGTGGGGAAGATGAGGGCTATCTGCAGCCTATACTCACAGAAGCTGGAGGCTCAGCACCCTGGTCAGGTAATGGGACCAGCAATGTCTTTTACAAGTTCTCACCCCCGCAGAACAGCTGTGAGGTTTAAAAAAGGGGATGTGCACACAGCTCATCTTGCTTCAGTGGTGCAAAAGCAGGTTCTCAGCAAAGTACAGCTCATACCACCCTGGACAAAACTGTAAGCTCCAGTGGGGCTGCCTCCATCTCCACCTTCTCCTCTGTTCTAACCCCAGCACCTAGTTCAGGGTGAGGCTCACGGTAGTGTTCATTTATTTGCCAAATGAATGCACTGCTACTAATCGTCTCCATTGTTGTAATTTTTGCCGAATCTGAGACTGCAGATATGTGGCAAGTGAATCGGATTACCCTTTCCAAACCTGAGCCGACAAGATGTTTCCAGGGGTAGAGGATCTCCCCTTTTATTTGGGTTTTTTTTTTTTCCTTTTGAATTTACAGTGGATGGATGCTAGAGGCAGCATCTCCACCTCCCAAGCCCCGGAGTGAGCAGCCCATGGTGGCCCCCTCTCTGCTCTGCCTGGTTGAGGCATCTGGCTCTCTGAAGACCCTTGGCACTCTCGGATGGTTTCCATTAGCCATCCCCAAGCCAGACTCCCATGCAGGTCATGGTGACACCAGGCTCTTTCTCCAGGCTGTCTATCCGTGGCTCCTAAATTCTGATCTGAGCTTTCCAGCCTTTGTCAGATTCCCACCAAAGGTTCATCTAAGGATTTGAGTTCTCCTTCCATGTTTTGTAATCTAAACCTTTTTCAGCAACAAGTCCAGAATGCTGGGCTAGAGAATCTGCTCAGTCGTTTATTGTCTTTGGGATGCAGAGGGCCCAGGGTACCACCCTTTTTCTGTGCGATTTTAGGCAAATTGCTGCCTGAGCTGCAGTTTCCTCACTCAGATAAGAGGGAATGGTTACTTTTACCTCATCAGGCTACAGCGAGGATTTGATGAAATACCTTGAGAAAGCAGACCCTGATCAGTAACTCTCCTCATTTAGAATATTCGGTGGCTTCACATTGCTCTATGATGAAGTCCAATCACTTCAATTCCCATAAGGCCATATCTAGCCTGGCTTCTGTCTAAATCTCAGATATATGTTGAGCCCTGTCCTACTTCCTGTTGTTCACATGTTCCAAACACAACTTAAGGACCTCTATATGATTCTTCTCTGTCCCCTACCCCCTGCTTCATACATAAATGCACAACTTTAATTCATCTTTCAGCTCTCATTCAAACGTCACCTCTTCCAGGCAGTCCTCCATGACCTCTACATCAGCCTAAGTTCTCACCACTCTCTGCTTTTATCCTTAACGCACTTTCTTTGCAACAGGCATGATGGTTTGCTTAGTTCTCTCTGCCCCACCAGGCGAGGACCAACGTGAAGGCAGCAATATGTTTGGATGTTCAGCCCTGTACCCCAGTGCCTGGCACTGAGTAGGTGCTCAATAAACACATGATAAATGAATGGTGGGTACCACTGCAGGTGGGTAAGTGCCCTAGGCATCATCCTATGAGCCTCATGCAGTGGGTTCTAGCCATCATAATTGCAAACAGATGCCACCCCCCCCCCACCATCCCCCCTTAGCCCCACCTTCAGCTGCCTGCCTGCTGAATGCAATATATTTTCAAGATATTACCTTGCATGGTGTGTATTCACGCCGCCCCCGGCAGCTCAATCTTCCCCTCC